CGCTCGATCTTCGGGACCCACTAGCGGCCTGCCCCATACCGGGCGGTGAGAGGTCACCAAGGTGGGCTGCGCCTCGGTCGGCAGCGGAAAGGAGAGCAGGCAGCCGGCTCCTCCAGTCTGGCAACGCTGAGGTGATCCTGGCTAGAGGGTGACATTGCCGGGCCGTTACGTGCGGTCAGGGGGGATCGGTTCTTCGAACTGCTCATTGTTCCATTTTACGACTTCCTGCTATGTTGATAGCTTTCTACCACGTCTGCCGGTCCCACTGGTGCTTAACGTCTCATTGCAATCATTCTTGCGGTTCGTATTTGTGGTGACACTGACTGTACGGCCGCACGCGTCGTCGGGTGGCGGGGAGGCGTGCTCTCCAGGCTCTGCGCTTAGGGCAAGCCAGCGTGCAGCCGCTGACGCCGGCGAGCGCTGCAGCGGCGCCGCTGGCCGGTGCGCCGAGACCGGCCGATCCCCAGCCCAGAAGCGCCGGCGCCCAGCGGCCGATCCCCAGCCGGGAAGCGCCGGCGCTCAGCGGCCGATCCCCAGCCGAGAAGCGCCGACGCTCAGCGGCCGATCCCCAGCCGAGAAGCGCCGACGCTCAGCGGCCGATCCCCAGCCGGGAAGCGCCGGCGCTCAACAGCGCACGTGCGAACCCATCCACTTTGCTGCGTGCAGGAGCTCGGCTGTCCGGCTCTGAGTAATGCTCCCCTGCCGCCGCAGCCGCCGCCGGCCGGTGGGCGGGGGGACAGCTGGCGCCCGCGGTCGGCATTGGCCGTGCTCACCGCTCCGCACACCGGGCGCCCCTCCCCGTCCACATCCCCCTGACACGCCGGCCGGTGGGCGGGGGGACAGCTGGTGCCCGTGGTCGGCATTGGCCGTGCTCACCGCTCCGCACACCGGGCGCCCCTCCCCGTCCACATCCCCCTGACACTCCGGCCGGTGGGCGGGAGGGACAGCTGGCGCCCGTGGTCGGCATTGGCCGTGCTCACCGCTCCGCACACCGAGCGCCCCTCCCCGTCCACACACCCCTGACACGCCGGCCGGGACTCCTGCAAAGCGTCGGCCGCCTAATTAAAGCGGCTTTGGAGGCCGGCGCCGCGGTAAATAGCTCGCTCGCGGTGGGAGGGCGCGGGCGGGGGGGGGGGGGGGGTGAGGAGAGGCGCCGCTCGATGCTCCCTATATTGCCTGCCGCCGGTCGTCAGCGGTCGGCGACGGCGCCGACGCGTTGACGTCGGCGCCCCCAGCGGCGGTCTTCGGCGCGGGCTCCGGCGCAGGGGACCGGGGTTGGTAGCCATCCCCCACCACAAATCTGGGAATCTATGGTAAACGCGTGGTGATCCTTGGGAAGAATTGGCGTTCGAAAAATCACCTACATCTTGGGACGTTGGCTCATATGCCTCGGGTCTGGTACGTATTGGCCGTCGATCCTGGCGACTTGCCGTCTGTTCCACGCGTCTCTCGTTCGCCGTTGTCGGGTTGGGTGGGTCAGCCCGGTGTGCGTGTGGCTCCGGCTTGTTGCGTTGTTCGGCCTGCGGGCGGGCCAGCGTGCGGTGCAGCGGAGCGGCGTGCGAGCCGCGGCCTGCGTCGCCGCGCTGCCGCCCGCAGCTCGGCCTTGTCCACGACAGAGGCGGAGCCAGCGCAGGCAGCGGGCGGGCGCCGACCCCACGTGTGACCCACTTATCCCGGCGCCAGCCCGCGTCCGCTTTTCTTCGTTCAAGGAAAAGGTGCATTCACCCGAGCGCCTGTCAAGTGGGGATGCGTGACTGCGCCCCTGGCTCCGCCTCTGCGCGGTGCCTCCTCCGCGCCCGTCGTGGCCGCTTGGCCGCCCTACGCACTTTTACTTCTGCCGCCGCGGGCGGGTCGGCCGGATTTGGCCCCATGTGGCGGAGCGGGGCCGCCAGCTGCCCTGCCCTGCCCTGCCCTGCCCTGCCCTGCCCTGCCCTGTTCAGCGACTGTGGAGTCCGCGGGCCGAGCGGCGAGTGTAGCGTAACACCGCAGTAACTCGCGGTTGGCGTGTTCGCGTTGGCTTTTGCCGGGCCTCCACGGATGCACTCAGCCATACAATGGGTTTTCGCGATGCGCTTGATGTTGGCTGAAATATGTTAATGAGTTTTCCGCTATTGTGCGAAGCGAATTAAGCAGCCCGTTGGATTGGCTGCCTAACTTAGCCAGCAGTTTGGCGGACCTTTCTTCTACGCGTGTTTCTGTCGTCCCGTCACGTATGTCGTGGGCCATCGCGTGCCGCTGGCGGTGTCCAGTGTCTGCTGGGCACACGTGCTGGTCTGGTCCGTGCTGCGGCCGGGCCGACCCGCGCCGTCCTCAGGTACCGAAGCCAGCCGGCCGGCCGCACCGGCGCGTCGTCACGTGTCCCCGTTTAGCGCCGGCCGGCGGCACCACGTGACCCATTTGCCGACGGAGCGGGCGTGGCCCGGCGGCGGCGATCACTGTGCGTGCCTGCGCACCGGGCCGGCGGCGGCGGCGGCGGCGGCGCTCAGGGCCGCGGCCGACCGGCGGCCCCGCCCCCGGCGCCGCCGACGCTCCGCGGGCCCGCCCGGGACGTGCGACCGAACACGGGCGGCGACGCACGCAATAGATGGGCCAGTGATTAGAGGCTCGCCGGATGATGGGCGGCCCGCGTGGAACATGTGGGGTGTTTGTGTGCGGACCGGGCCCGGATGGCCCAGCTGTGTCGGTGCCCACCGACCGCCGAAGCACCGCCCCGACCCCATTTTTTATATTATAATTATGCATTTGTTATTTATGTATTATTAGTTTTTATTGATTTTCATTTTTACATCGTTATTTAATTTAAGTGTTCATGAAGTATTGATCACTATGATCGGTCACTATCGGCGTGCGCTGGCAGCAGCTCACGCCGCGCAGTGTCAACAGCGTGGGGCGGTGTTGACGGGAGGAGCGGCTGTTGGGGCAACGCCGCCGGAGCTGGAGCCCGCCAGCCGCGTCCGACGCCGGCGCCGGTCGGCCGAGCGCACGTGGTACGAGTCGCTGGCAGCACCGTCGACGGCCCGCCGCCGGTGACGTGCTCCACGGCGATGGTCTCCCACACCGGCGTCGACTCCGGTCCGACGGGGCGGACTCCCGCAACGGCGGCGTTTGCGGCGCGCCGGCGCCCCCGCCCAGGTGGGCAGGCCCTCTCGCAGCCAGTGCCGACTGCAGCTGTGCTGCGGCGGCGCGTGGTGCGGCCGCCCGGAAATACGTACCGGCCGGTGACGTCATGATGGGTGACGTCACCGACCACGCCAGACAAAGGGCGCGTGGCCGGCGGCCGCGGGGAAACTCCGGCAGCGGAGTCACTCGTGTGCAACAGATGACTAGGTCGGACGGCGAGCGCGGCCACCTATTTTCGGCGCGCGTCTGCTCTGCCGGCTAAATCAACCAGATCGATTTCCGGAAGCGGGTCAGACGAACGGCTTCCAGTTTCCATTGACCCGTGTCACCACAGACTGCAGTCGGTCAGCGGCACGTCCTCGGGCCGACCACCGCAGGAGCGTTCGCGTACGTCAGGTCGGCCGCAGTCCGTGCCTCAGGGTCGCTCAGGGTCGATCGGCCGGGAGGTTTGTACCTCACGGGTCGGCCGCGACCAGCGGCGGCCGGCTCGCCCGCCCCGTTGTGCCGCGGCCCGGCCCGGCCCGGCTCGGCTCGGCTCGGCCGCGGTCCGCCGGCGCCGGTCGTGGCCGGGTCACGGCGACGGCCGCGCATGCGCGCCGGCCCGCCGCCGCCGGCCCCCATCAGCTGGTGGCGGCGCGGCAGGCCGGCGGGTGCTCCGCACCGCCGCGTCCCGACGTGGTATCGCCCGTGGCGGGGATGCCAGCGATCGGCAGCACGGCGTGGCCGTCCGCTCGGCAGATCGGCGTCGCTGGAGGGGTCAGCGGTGGTGGCCAGGGACTCAGCAGCTGCTCTCGCCGCTCACGACGGCGGCAGCAGCGCGCTGCTCGGTACGCTGGCGCCGCCGGTACCCTCCCGCTCGGCATGGTCTGCTGGCGGCCGCGTCACCGGGGCTGCACCGCCGCTGTCGGCCTGGTGCTCACCGGGGATGGGCCTTGCACGGGAACGTCACAACTAGGGCTGACGCTTCATACGACGGGAAGAGGGATGGGAGGCACCTGAGCTTTCCAGCGATTGCAGATTTTTAGTCAATGGCTGTGGTGGTAGGCAGATGCATGAAGGCAAACACTCCAAAGACGAATTGCTTGCGTAGTCCCAAAGCACCACGCCAGACGGCCACTGCGCCACGCTCCCCGTCACCGGTGCTGCGGCCGGGTCGGCGGCGGGCTGCCACAGCCGGGCCCGGCGGCCGCCGGCGGCGCCTGCGGACCGCTCGTTAGACCGGGCCACAGATGGTGGTGACCGCTGGCGACCAGCTCGGCCGGCCGCTCTGCCGGCTGCGACACTCTATCACCGAGCGGCTGCCCCCGACGAACCGACACCGCTGACGGGCCGACCGGCCGACGGTCGGCGCCGGGCGGCGGCAGCGGGTCGGCTCACGCGCCGGCGCTCACGCTGCGTAGCGGCCTCCGCCGGCGCCGTGTCCCGGATTGCGCTCCGACCAGCTCCCATTGTCGCCTGCCCGCTTCGTGTGGTGCTGGTTTCCGTGCCGTGCAGGAAAACCTCCCGAAACGGTGCCATCTATTCCCAGACGCATAGGACATGGAACAGAAGGCTTCACTCATGCGGCATGGTCTCCCCAACATGTGGATAAACTGCTACACACTGTATAATTCCAGCAGCTGGCCTGGGCTGACTGGCTGCTGGTGGACATTTGTCTTAACAAATCCGTGCATTGCGCTGAAAGGATCCAGGCATTGCCACCGTGATTAGAAGTTACGCAAGCGACACACACTCATCATTCAGTATTGAATGTGCAATCGCAAATCTGAGAAAAACGCCTTTCGTGCGCCGAAGCTTAAGCGAAACAGGGTCGCGCCTGCAATGCGCCCCACAATCCCGCGGACAAAGCGTGTGCTGACAGTTCGTATTTCTGCCGATAGATGGCGTGCTGTCGCTGGTGGAGCTGTGCGCCCGTCAGGTGGCCGCCCACATCCCGTTCGAAGTGGTGGAGCGGGTGTACCCGCCGGTGCCGGAGCAGATCCAGCTGCGCATCACCTACTGGAGCTTCCCGGACTCGGAGGAGGACATCCGACTCTACAGCTGCCTCGCCAACGGGTCCGCCGACGAGTTCGCCAAGGGCGAACACCTTTTCAGGTTGGTCCCGGCGCCTCACCCCGGAGCCTTCCACCGGGCTGTTGTAAAACGATTTTTTCAGATTGATGCGCACGTTGTCAGCTAGTCCGCGATCAGCTGCGTCAGAAGGGAAGCGTTTGGCTCACTTTTCAAGAAGCCCTCCAGGGGCAGGCTGAGTTTGATGTCCGTGGTGCGGTAATGCCAGCTGGAGCGTGTCGGTGGGGCGCAGTCCCGTTTGGAGTGCGTCCCTTCCCTGAAGCTTAGTAGTGGCTGTTGTGATGGGAGCGAGCCTCTGATGGCCGCCTGTGCTTGTGTGATGAGTCCGCTCCTGTGGGGGATGGCCTCCGTCCGGCTTCCCCGGCGTGTCTGCTCCCCATGTCAGACACGGGTGGTACACACCTTCCGGGGGTGCACCTAACCCCCGATACTCGCGGCCAGCTGGCCGGCCTCCGCTGCGCTTTGGGTGTCCTAAGCTACTCCGTCTTCGGACGCGCGATACGCACCATCTTGCCTCGCCGGTCGATGTGGCTCTCTTCCACCCCCTACGACCTAGTCTGTACTCGATGCCGTGCGTGTGGGGGCGCTGACAATCCTCCACTGTGACCCCCTCCCTGTCCTCCGACACCCTGACAGGTGGGTGTTGACCAGTCTCCGCTGTGACCCCCTCTCTGTCCTCCGGCACCCTCACAGGTGGGTGCTGACCAGTCTCCGCTGTGACCCCCTCCCTGTCCTCCGGCACCCTCACAGGTGGGTGCTGACCAGTCTCCGCTGTGACCCCCTCTGTCCTCCGACACCCTGACAGGTGGGTGTTGACCAGTCTCCGCTGTGACCCCCTCTTGTCCTCCGGCACCCTCACAGGTGGGTGCTGACCAGTCTCCGCTGTGACCCCCTCCCTGTCCTCCGGCACCCTCACAGGTGGGTGCTGACCAGTCTCCGCTGTGACCCCCTCTCTGTCCTCCGACACCCTGACAGGTGGGTGTTGACCAGTCTCCGCTGTGACCCCCTCTCTGTCCTCCGGCACCCTCACAGGTGGGTGCTGACCAGTCTCCGCTGCGACCCCCTCCCTGTCCTCCGGCACCCTCACAGGTGGGTGCTGACCAGTCTCCGCTGTGACCCCCTCCCTGTCCTCCGGCACCCTCACAGGTGGGTGCTGACCAGTCTCCGCTGCGACCCCCTCCCTGTCCTCCGGCACCCTCACAGGTGGGTGCTGACCGGCCTCCACTGTGACCCCCTCTTACCCTCCGGCACCCTCACAGGTGGGCGCTGATCGGCCTCCGCTGTGACCTCCTTTCACCTCCGGCCCCGCCTCGGCAGGTCGGCGGCGGTGCACGAACCCCTGCAGATTGGGTTCCACCTGTCGGCTCGCGTCGAGGCCGGCATGGCTGGCTTCAAAGGCCAGTTCAACGTGGCCGTGACGTTGGACCGGAAGCGGATCGGCGCGTGCACGTGCACGTGCGACGCCAACGCCGCCTGGTGTTCGCACATCGTGGCCGTCTGCCTGCAGCGCATCCACCAGGTGCGGCGCTCGGACTACCGGCAAGACCGAACGCCGCGGAGCGGGCGTCTGAGAGGGCGGGCCCCAGCCGGTGGGGGGCGGGGGAGGGAGAGACCGCCGCGGAGCGGACGTATGAGAGGGCGTGCCCCAGCCGGTGGAAGGGAGAGGCCGCTGCCGGGCGGACGCATGAGAGGGGGGGAGGGGTCGAGCCGGTGGAGGGGAGAGGCCGCTGCGGGGGTATGAAAGGCGGCCCCAGCGGGTGGAGAAGAGAAGCAGAGCGAGAGAAACGGAAGAAGACGAAGGACAAGGATAAGGAGAAGTAGGAGGGTGGCGGCGTTGACTGCTGTGGACTCTTTTGTGCTGGGGTTGATGTTACCGCTGTGTGTTGGGCGCGGTTGTGAAGTCAGCGGGGCCTGTGGCTGTCTCAACTCTGTACGGCTGGGCCGGCATTGTGTAGCTAGGCGCAGCCCGTATCCAGTAGGCTCGTCACCAGGCGCTGTCTTTATTCTGTCGATCGGAGGTATTGATCGAAGATGCTGGGGCCCGGTCATCCAGCGCTTTTGATTGGCGGCTGTGCAGTGTGACCGGTGCTGTGTTTCCGCACACTCGGGCTATGCTGCCCGGTGTGTCCGCTCGTGTCCGCGCCAGGGTCAGTGGGGTTGTGACCCGGCCCTCGCGTCGCCAGCCGACGTCGGTGCGTCTGCGCGCGCCCGTCAGCGAGTCGCTGAGCCGGCTGACGCGGGACCAGCTGCAGAAGTTCTCGCAGTACCTCATCTCGGAGCTGTCGCACGACATGCTGCCCACCGCCCAGCGGCTGCTCGACGACCTGCTTAGCGGCAAGCCATCGCGCATGAACCTGGTGCGTGCCCGCGCCCGCCCGCGCCCGCCCGCCCAGGGCTCCGCACTGGGCTGGACGGGTGCTCTTTGTGCCCCGCCGTCTCCGGTTATGGCCGCTTTGGTAACATTCTGTCTCCAAGACTGACCGTTGTTCCCCGTAAGCGTGAATATATATGTACTGGATAGGTGGCATTGTTTACTGGACTCGCTCTCTTTGCTGAAAACATGTGCTGTGCTTCCTTGCGCTGCTTGGTTCATTCAGCATATTATCTGTCATTGCCGTTGATCCTATTGGGACATTGTGTGTTGGCTCGCATCGCTTCGTTCCTGCAGCATTGCGCACAAAATGAAGTGCTTCCGATGTCCCTCCCCTGTGCTCCATCGGGGGCCAGTATCCGGAGCGCGCTCTCTGTGACGGTGTGTCCCGGTCGTGTTGGAGCGCGCTCTCTGACGGTGTGTCCCGGTCGTGTTGGAGCGCGCTCTCTGTGACGGTGTGTCCCGGCCGTGTCAGAGCGCACTCTCTCTGACGGTGTGTCCCGGCCGTGTTGGAGCGCGCTCTCTGTGACGGTGTGTCCCGGCCGTGTCAGAGCGCGCTCTCTGTGACGGTGTGTCCCGGCCGTGTTGGAGCGCGCTCTCTGTGACGGTGTGTCCCGGTCGTGTTGGAGCGCGCTCTCTGTGACGGTGTGTCCCGGCCGTGTCAGAGCGCACTCTCTGTGACGGTGTGCCCCGGCCGTGTTGGAGCGCGCTCTCTGTGACGGTGTGTCCCGGCCGTGTCAGAGCGCGCTCTCTGTGACGGTGTGTCCCGGCCGTGTTGGAGCGCGCTCTCTGTGACGGTGTGTCCCGGCCGTGTCAGAGCGCACTCTCTGTGACGGTGCGCCCCGGCCGTGTTGGAGCGCGCTCTCTGTGACGGTGCGTCCCGGCCGTGTTGGAGCGCGCTCTCTGTGACGGTGCGTCCCGGTCGTGTTGGAGCGCGCTCTCTGTGACGGTGTGTCCCGGCCGTGTTGGAGCGCGCTCTCTGTGACGGTGCGTCCCGGCCGTGTTGGAGCGCGCTCTCTGTGACGGTGTGTCCTGACCGTGCTGCCACAGGCGTGCGGAGCGCCCGACCCAACTGCGGGCGCCTCGGTGTGTGACCAGACGTCGTGGTGTCTGGACCAGCGCACACTGCAGGAGAACATCCGCAAGATCCTCATCAAGTTCTGCCTGCCCAGCCCCACCGTGTTCAGGTGAGGCGGCTCGGGACGCCGGGCAGGGACTGGGCCCAGGGACCGGCCGCCGGCGCTGATGACGTGGTGTCGACAGCTCCACTGAATGTGGAGCGGTGGGATGTGGACGACAGCGGCTGCACTGGCGGCAGGTGCCGCAGCGAGCTGGACTCCGCACCAGCATGGGCATGGGGATGGCGAACGGCATGAGGCAAGTCGTATGTTATTGGTCGCGTCTGAGTTTTCCGGACGGTGACTTCGCTGGTACCGGTACTGGAGTGATCAGCTGGGCGTCTGGAAAGCCAGAGGCACGGTGCTTGATTTCCCGCGGAGCCCGCTCTTCCTGCCAGGGTGAGGGCAGGCGACGCCATACGGGTTCAGTAGCTCAGTGCGTTGTAAGGCCCGATGACGACGGCGATGACGACGACTTCGCGAGTGGCCCGCTCCCCGGCACGACGCCGGCGCGATGTCCCGCAGTTCGAGAGGCCTGGTGACGCTCCTGTCAACAGATGGTTCATCATTTAATGGACAGGGAGAGCTCAGGCCCTGCAACGAGCTCGGCCGGTCGCCGGGCGGTCGTCAGGCCACGCGCTGTGCCACGCGCGCCGTTAAGACGGCTGTCATGACGTCCGACTCTCGCACCGTTGACTTCCTCTTCAGCCGTGCTCCGGCTCCGACGTCGCCGGCTGCGTGACGGCGCCGCCGGCCGCGTGTCGCGGCTCCCGCCGTGACGTCACCGGTGGGGTTTCAGTGACGTCAACTGCCTGTCGACGTCGGCGCCGCCGGCGGCCACCGAGTGGACGTCGCTGCTGCGGCCGCTGCGAGGCCGCGAGCCCGAGGGCATGTGGAACCTGCTCAGCATCGTGCGCGAGATGATGCGCCGCCACGACCGCAACGCCGTGCCGCTGCTGGAGATCATCACCGAGGAGTGTCTGCAGTGTGACCAGGTGAGCGGCCGCCCCCGACGGCGCCGGCGGCGGGCCGTGCCGTGGCACCGCCGACGGCTGGGGACGACGCCCCGTCCGCTGGTTGGCATGGCTAACTGCGGGTATCAGACGGTCCACAATTCACGTGTAAACGACGTTTGACATGTCGAGAGCAACGGCAGGGCGGACTACCAAGTAGGAAATTGGGAGGATGCACTTAAGAATGCTATCTACCTTGGCGTCCCTACTGTCCGTGCGCTATACGTCACGTCCCCGGAAGTGGTCACGTGACTCCGTGTATAGCTGGCCTTATCTGTGCACCTGCGCGCTGTCGCGGGCTTTTCATGGCGCCGTTAAAACCAGGGTCATCCAAGGCTGCGGTGAGCCAGTATATGGCACGTGACGGCAGCGGTCAATTAACATCTGCTGGGCCAGGCACACCTGCTCAGGCGCAGCCGGGGGGCCCTGCACCCACCTGCAGGCCTGACCGGCCCGCTGTCTTGTCCAGATCGTCATCTGGTGGGTGAACACCAAGCTGGCGCTGCACGTGGGCGGCACCGGCCACGTGGCCAAAAACCACACGGCCAGCAACTCTCAGGCGTCGCAGCACGCGTGCGCCAGCCTCTGCGACGAGATCGTGGTTCAGTGGCGGCTGGCGGCGCTCAGTCCCACACTGTCGCAGACGGATCGCGACCAAATCAGGTCAGTGTCGCACTGTCGCAGACGGACGGCGACCAGATCAGGTCAGTGTCGCACTGTCACAGACGGACGGCGACCAGATCAGGTCAGTGTCGCACTGTCGTAGATGGACGGCGACCAGATCAGGTCAGTGTCGCACTGTCGCAGACGGGCCGCCGGCGGAATCACGTGGGGTGCTTCCATTACGAAGGTCATCACGAGGATTTTGCAACGGTCAATAGCAGACACGATCCTAGGCGTGATCAGTGTCGTTACACGGGCTGGAGCCGGCCGCCTATGAGCCGTATTGGGATAATCAGCTGTACAGCCCCTTCTGCCGGCGATGTGCAGACCACCTGCCGTGTGCTGCTGCTCCGCCGGGTCTGAGGTCGGCACGCGCGCCTCCGCCCCGCCGCAGGAACCAGTTCCTGGACTGGCACCTGAAGGTGATGGACAAGTTCAAGAGCAAGAGCCAGAGCAGCAACACGGCCAAGCGACAGAACGACATCGATATCTTCCCGGGCTTCAAGCCGTCGATCGAGGCCTGCGCCCTCAGCTGGGTGTGTGGCGGTCCCCGTCCTTAGTCCGCTCTATGCATGTCCACCGCTGCCTGTGCGCTCTCCATTTGCCCTGTTGCACCCGCTCACCTCTCCTGGCAGTGCTGTCTTGCATTGGCCACTGTCGCCTGCTATTCCACCCCCCAGATCTTGGATAATCATTATGTGCAGCTATCCTTCGTTTACTCTCTCAGCTTTATTGATATTGGCCTGTTAGTTTCACTTGTCTTTGTGTCAGCGTACGTGCAGTGCCTGTTTGTTTTGTGCCGGTGTCTTATTTGATGTCTTGGTTCGACTTGTATGCAGATAGCTAGTAAGCATGAACAGATTGCATTAGCTTAATTGATAGCTGTATTTTAGCACCGACTCCATCTATTGTACCAGCTGCTTTGTATAGGACTATTTCCACGGCCTAGGCGGATCTTTGTATTGTAGTTGGAAGTGTATACTAGACATGCCTTTTATTTAATATGGCATGCAGCGTTATCTTCAGTCTTTGCTCCGTGGTTGCTGCGCAGCTTACATGCTTTCACATCCCCTTCGGCTATAATCGCTTCACTTCCCTCGCTGTTGTCTTTATCCTACCCAATGACGTTTTATCTGGCTAATGTCTCATTGGCTATGATTTGTTTAGCCTGAAACTTGTCGATGCACAGCATCATTCAGTGGCAAAAGTTTCATGCAGCTTGTTAAATTGCGTGGTTCTCAAACATTTTGTGACTGGTGCAATGATTTGCATTCGGTCTTCTGGGGACTGGCAGCCGCTGCCACAGTACATACCTTCCATCAGCTGCGCCGGGCCATGCCGCCTCTGTTTGTTATTATAGCGTGCATGTGAGCGCGGGTGCTGACATCTGTCGGCGGCCAGGCCAACTACACGATGACGTCACAGTCGGCGGTGCAGCCGGAGCGGATCCGCCACGCCGAGCCGGGCCTGAGCCAGCAGTCGGGGCCCGTGCACAGCTCGGACGCCGTCCTCCAGATGGTCGACGTCGGCGACGGCCTGGAGGGTGAGTCCCCCCTCCCGGTCCACCGTCACACGCCGCCGTCACGTGACGCGCTGGGGGTCCGGCCACGGCAGAGGTCACACCCCTGCTCTCCCCTCCCCCCACGTGGTCCTGGTTCGTCACCCCCCGGTCACGGGCTGGCGGGGGCTGGTCACGACTTCCGCAACGCTCTCCCCCGTCACATCTAGTGCACTGGTCCGGTAGCGACTACAGCGCAGAGGTGAGAGCGACCCGCACAAGGTTAGGTCAGGCGGTGGAGCGCCCGGTGCCGGTGGGAGCGGCGCCGCCGCGGCACACCTGCCTGCTCCGTCCCTTAGTGAGGTGTCGCGGAGACGGCGCAGGGGTCTGTGGAGGACGCTCCTAGCCGCAGCAGACCCGTTTGCTCCGTGCTATAATCAGGCGTCGCGGAGCGGCGCGGGGGTCTGTGGAGGACACCCCTAGCCTGAAGCTGCCTCTCTGCGGCGTGTGATGACGCCAGGCCGGGATGTGGGCCGCGGCTCTGATGACGCCGTAGCCTTAGCGGGGTCCGTAAAGGACACGTCCGATCCCAGTAGTCTGGACTGGGTGCTATTAAATGTGCCCACCACCGATCGGTAGGGGTCCCACTCCCGTGCCATTAAATGTGCCCACCACCGATCGGTAGGGGTCGCACTCCCGTGCCATTAAATGTGCCCACCACCGATCGGTAGGGGTCCCACTCCCGTGCCATTAAATGTGCCCACCACCGATCGGTAGGGGTCCCACTCCCGCGCCATTGTATGTGCCCTCCACGGATCGGTAGGGATCCCATTCCCGCAGCATACATAGGCGTCAGTGTTGTCTGTGCTACGACGCCACATACAGCCAGCCCCCAGGCGTAACTCGCCGCCATCCTCCCACAGCGGGCAACCGCAGCTCGGTCAGCAGCGAGGGCTTCTGCGAGCCCGAGGACCAGGAGGCGGCCGCGGCCCTGGCCGACGGCGACGCCAGGGAGAGCGGACCCTCCGACAAGGTAAGGCCCGGCGCCGGCTCCCGGCTCCGGCTCCCGGCTCCCGGCTCGGGCAGGCGGGCTCTGGCAGGTGCTGACGTTCTGGTGACGAACGCTCGGCCGCCAGAGCAGCTGGAGGCCGCTAGGTGGAATTTTGCATTGTGTTGGCCGTGGCGAAGGATAATGGCATGTGGCTGGGACGCTCAGACGAATATCCTCGCTCGCTCGGACGAATGGTATCGAGTCCTGTGATTGATTGTGGGATTACAGTAGCGATCTCGGTTTTGTCGTGATGGCCGTGGTTTGGGGATTACGGGCATGGGGACGTGGAGGCCATTTTGCGCCCACTGATCGGCATTGGCCAGACGACAGATTCTATCGTTAGAAGAGCCGAGCGCGGCAGGACAGCTCGCGGCAGCTTGTGTCCGGAGCAGGCCTGGTCACCCCCTCCCCCCCTTCCCCGCTAACGGCGCGCGCGGCCGTCGACAGGAGCGGGTGCTGAGCGCGCTACGGCCCGTCACCGACCACTGGGAGGTGCTGTTCGCGCGCGCCGAGGGCCTGCACGCGCACGGCTTCACACGTGACGCGTGCCGTATCGGCGTGACGCTGGCGCAGCAGCTGCTCTCCAGCCCGCCCGACCTCAGCGTCGACCCGGCGCTCAGCCAGGCCAAGGTCAAGAAGCGGCGCGGCGTCAACCCGCTCACGCACCAGGTCAGCGGCGGCCACCGGCCACTGGGCGGGCTAATGGTGCACACGGGGGCAGCGGGCGGGGCTGGTGGTGAACACCAGGTCAGCGGCGACTGGGGTGGCGGGCGGGGCTGGTGGGGAACACCAGGTCAGCGGCGGCCGCATCCGAGCGGGCGCTGGTGGTGGGGGACGGCGCGGGAAGGAGTGTCTTGATCTCACCGTAGGCGTGTGGGAACGGTTTGCTGAGGGTGTCGGGGGGATGATATTTGCACAAAAGGCTTCATTGTTACGTGTTGACTGGCTGTGTTGCCCTGGTTACATTCGGAAGATCAAGAACAATATGGTATGTAGTACCAAAAACCAAAAGACGCTTGCTGTTCTGTTGGACCTCCCTGTAAGACGGCGGCAGTCGCGAATGTGCGCGTCTGTGAGCTGACGGGGGTGCTGGTGCGAGCGCTGTGTCTCTGACACCGTGCGCTGACCGCCGGCGCGCCTCGGCCCAGGTGACCTGCCTGGCGTCCACCACGCTCTCCCGCTGCGGCTTCCTCTGTACGGTGCTGTCGGAGGAGGCGGAGCACCACCACCTGGCCTTCCAGGTCGGCCTCTACGGGCTGGAGATGAGCAGGCCGCCGGCCTCCACCAAACCGCTCGAGGTGCGTACACTGACCCCGGCCATCGGCGGCGCGGTGCAGCAGGAGCTCCTCCGGTCTGGGGCCGGCTGTCTGCGCTGTAAGCACTGCAGCTGAACTGCACTAGGCTAGGCTGCAGGCGTATTCTGCAGGCGATTTTGTCGGTGGTTCACACAATAGAGCCGTTCGCATCCTCTGCGTGCGTCCATTCCAGTCGGCTCATCGACGCTCGGTCCCGGCGTCTGCTGCGTTTTTAGCCCTGGCGACTGGTGCTCCGTCGCACGCTGCTCTCGTCCGTCACGCGCCATCCTCTGTCCAAGCGGCACCATTGTGACGTCTTGTCTGCTCTCTGCCGTTCCTACACCACCCCTGACGTCTCTGTCGCCTCCTCTGACGCCCCTCTGCTGACGTCGCCCCAGGTGAAGCTGGCCAACCAGGAGGCAGAGCTGCTGCAGCTGCTGCGCCGCATCCCGTTGTCGCCGGCCGAGCTGCGCGTGCTGCGCGAGCGGGCCGAGGCGCTGCGCGCCGGCCGGCTGAAGACGCGCGGAGAGGCGCTGGTGCCGCTGACACTGGCCAACCTCATCTTCGACGCGCTGGTGGCGCCGCAGCGTGAGTTGACTGACGGCGCGATGGGGCAGGACAGAACAGGACGGACAGGACAGGACAGGACAGGACAGGACAGGACAGGACAGGACAGGACAGGACAGGACAGGACAGGACAGGGCAGGGCAGGGCAGGGCAGGGCAGGACAGGACAGGACAGGACAGGGCAGGGCAGGGCAGGGCAGGGCAGGGCAGGGCAGGGCAGGGCAGGGCAAGGAGAAACTGGGTGTTGGCTGTGAGACAGAAAGGTAACTGGAAGCGTTGTGGGCTGCTGACGACAAGAGCGCGTCTCGCTGTGTTTAGAGCGGGTTAAGACTTGCGGCGTTCGCACGGCGACGTGCCCGGCCCCACTGCTCTGTGTGTGTCCTGCCCCGACCTGAACGTGCTGTCATCGACCTTTCAGCGGGTTAGGTTGTCTCCAGTTACGTCCCGGGGTACATTAGAAGGGCGTGTGTGTTGTGTGGCTCTCGCCGCCCGCCGCCAGTCGCCGCGCCTGTGGCGGCGCATCTGAGCGATGTGCTGTCGCCTGGGTAGCGCCCGGCTGACCGCCGCCAGTCGCCGCGCCTGTGGCGGCGCATCTGAGCGATGTACTGTCACCTGGGTAGCGCCCGGCTGACCGCCGTCTGTCGCCGCGCCTGTGGCGGCGCATCTGAGCGATGTGCTGTCGCCTGGGTAGCGCCCGGCTGACCGCCGTCTGTCGCCGCGCCTGTGGCGGCGCATCTGAGCGATGTGCTGTCGCCTGGGTAGCGCCCGGCTGACCGCCGCCCGCTGTGGTCGGCAGCGGTGACGCGCGGCGCCGCGGCCGGCCCCGGCGCCGCCAGCCACCGGCAGCCCGGCGACGAGGAGCTCGGCTTCGAGGCGGCCGTCACCGCGCTCGGCCTCAAGGCCAATGTCTCGGAGGCCGACCACCCGCTGCTCTGCGAGGGCACGCGCCGACAACGGTGAGGCTGTTGGGCTGGCAGGCGAGCTCCGTCTGGGGTTAGAGGGAGGGGGAGGGAGGGCTGGCGGACGAGCTCTGGAGCCGAGCTGTCTGAGGTCATGAGGGGGAGGGGCTGGCGGGTGAGCTCCGCGGGAGTCAGAGGGGCTGGCGGGCGAGCTGCAGAACCGCGCCGTCTGAGGTCGGCGGGCGGGCGAGCGAGCTCCGGAGCCGAGCTGCCTGAGATCAGGGGGTGGAGCTGAGCCGCTCCGCTCAGGCGGCGCGCCCTCACGCGTTCGCCGGCGCCGGCCGGCGCGCTCCAAGCTGACGCGACTCTGCTTCCGCCGCAGCGGTGACCTGGCCATTGTGCTGCTGGTGCACTACAAGGACGACCAGGAGCGGCTGGCCAAGATCATGGACCGGCTGCTCGACAAGGAGGTAGGCCTGCCCGTCTGCACGCGGTCGCGCCGCCCACTCCTCCGCCCCAGTGTCGCCGTGCAGAGGCTGTCGGCGAGCTCTCCCGGCTGCTGTGGTGGGAAGGGGCTGGTTTGGGAGGGCGCGTTCTGGGCACAACGAAGAGCGAGGTTTTGGGAGGCTGCCTGTGCTGCGCGCTAGTGGACGCGGTGCGGCTGGAGTCGTGGAGATAGTGATCTATCCGTTGTCGTGTCGTCGGCTCCTTTCGTGTCGGGAAAGCATTGCTGCGCCTGCAGGATCGGACGGTATTAGTTCTGGCGACAAGTCAGCGTAACGGTCATGTCTTGCGTGTGCGTTGGCATATGCTTCACTTCCCCGCCGTGATGTGGCTGTATGGGCCCCGTGTCGGCTGACCAGCCGCCGTCCCCCGCGCAGGTGCACCGGATGTTCAAGGCGCCCACGCTGAGCTCGTACTACAGCACGCGCCCGCCGCCTCCGGAGCCGCGCCCCGGCCGGCCCGAGGACGGCCTCGAGCGTACCTCGCGGCCGCCGCCGCCGCTGCCGCGCGCCGCCCCCTCCGGCGGCGCTCGCCCCAGAGAGCCGCGGTCCGTACCTGGCCAAGGGAGAGGAGGGGTGGGGGGAGGAGACGGGGCGAACTCAGCACGCGAAAACGAAACGGATCGGCTTATGCTGGTAGATTATCTTCAACATGTGCCATATCTCATTTGTTCTCTTTCAGTGCGTTCATATCTCATTTGTTCTCTTTCACTGCGTGTGAGGCAATGTGGAGAGTAAGCAGTGCATCTTTTCTCCGGCGATTATTGACATGCGATGTGTGGTCCGCTCTGTTCCGTGTTCCCGTCCGTGCGTGACGTGACGTGACCTGACGTGACCTGACCAGACCTGATGTGACCTGATGTGACCTGACCTGACCTAACGTGTCCTGTCCAGCTCTGACGTGGCCTGACCTGAGCTCTGGCCTGGCCGGCTGCCGCAGAGGGCCGATGGCTGACCGCGAGCGGACCACAGACACGAGCAGCCCGCCCTGGGAGGAGGGCTACAAGCTCTGGGAGGCCAAATTCCGCTGCACCAACCTCAAGACGCACCGCAAACACCACAGCCAGGGCATGGCCAGCATCGACAGCAGCGCGCCAGAGACGACCTCCTCCGACAACTCGCCCACCCTGGTGAGACTCACCTCCTCCGACAACTCGCCCACCCTGGTGAGACTCACCTCCTCCGACAGCTCGCCCATGTTGGTGAGGCTCACCTCCTCCGACAACTCGCCCATGTTGGTGAGACTCACCTCCTCCGACAGCTCGCCCATGTTGGTGAGGCTCACCTCCTCCGACAGCTCGCCCACCCTGGTGAGACTTACCTCCTCCGACAGCTCGCCCATGCTGGTGAGGCTTACCTCCTCCGACAACCCGCCCATGCTGGTGAGACTCACCTCCTCCGACAGCTCGCCCATGTTGGTGAGGCTCACCTCCTCCGACAGCTCGCCCACCCTGGTGAGACTTACCTCCTCCGACAGCTCGCCCATGCTGGTGAGGCTTACCTCCTCCGACAGCTCGCCCATGCGTGAGACTTACCTCCTCTGACAACTCTCCTACCTTGGTGAGTCTCACCTCCTCCGACAACCCGCCCACCCTGGCGAGCCCCTCCTGTAGGCCGCACCGCCGGCGCGGCTGGGACGAGGAGACGCTGCCCGGTGCGGCGGGGGTGCCCCCAGGGTTGTTTGACTAGGGGCAGGAGGCTGGCGCCGGCGGAAAAAGCTGGTGGAGAGCGAGACACCTTACCATTCACACTTCCCCAGATTGTATAAGTCCGGGATTCAATGGGTTCCATGTTAAGGTGGCGGGGGGGGGGGGGGGGGCGGGGCACAGTTGCCTCCCTTCCCTCCGGCCCTGGCGGCGCCTATGCCAGACGGTCGTCTGATACGCCGACGGCAGTGGTGGCGTGCCGAGCGGCTGGCGTCGTGGCTGTGAGACCCCATCACCTGACCGCCAGCTGTGCTCTGAGGGTACTGGTAGATGTCAACTACAGCTGCGCCGTGTCGACATTTTCCGGACGCACCCGGGTGTACAGCGTGGAGGCAGGGTGCTGGACATTTGAGCTGTGGAGCACACGCGATTGAGAATGAAAGCAACTGTTTGCAAGTGGTGGGAACGTGGTAGAGGTCATCAAATGTAGTTACCAAAGCTATACATATTTCCTGTCCGTGATGACGGCTGATTGGTCCTACTTCCTGCACAGTATTACGTCAGAAGCGTTGCAGTGCTGGCTGTTAGCTTGGATGAACCTGTTCTAGATTGGATCATTTGGCTTGTCAGTCGTGCAAAGGTGCTTAGTTTTTGTCAGTCTGGTTTTGGCTGCAAAAGCTGTGCTATCCGTCCGACACACCAGTAGCTAACCATAACAGGTAAAGCACAATCTGTCAAGCACGGCCGAACGGCGAGTTATGTGCATCTACTGGCTGCAGTGCGCCGGTGGGCGCTGCCTTTGTTTTGCACGACCGGCCTGTGACGTGTCTTCTCTACGGTGGGAAAAGCGACAAGGCTGGTGTTTTCCGTGGATCTGGAAAGGATCACTCCAATGTTGTCTTATAACCACGCAGCTTTTGAACCTTATGTGCAAATGTCTTATTTAAAACAGGCCCCTCAGCAGTCAGCTCCCATTGATTTGGTAAAAAAGGGTATCCGCTTTCAGAGATCTCTGATCAGCACCGCTTTTCAGAAACCTCTGGAAAGCGGAAATTGAGTAGATTTCAGTTATGCTTTGTGATGCCCCCTCCCCCACAGTGCATGTGGATGACGCTGTATTGAAGCTTCATCGGCGTACGGCGATGTCGACCGGTCCCCCCCCCCCCCCGCACACACACCCTGTATTAGAACTTCACCGGCGTACGGCGATGTCGACCGGTCCCCCCCCCCCCCCACACACACACACTGTATTGGAGCTTCATCGGCGTACGGCGATGTCGACCGGTCCCCCCCCCCCCCCTACACACACACACTGTATTGGAGCTTCATCGGCGTACGGCGATGTCGACCGGTCCCCCCCCCCCCCACACACACACACTGTATTGGAGCTTCATCGGCGTACGACGATGTCGACCGGTCCCCCCCCCCCCCCCCACACACACACTGTATTGGAACTTCACCGGCGTACGGCGATGTCGACCTGTCCCCCACACATTATGTGCTGCGCTGCGGCCGCCGCGGGCCGGTTCGGCGGGCGTGGGAGGGCGCCGCCGCTGACGTTTGGCGCCGTGCCGCCAGGTGCGCCGCTCCTGGGTGAAGCCCAGCGGGCCCGGCAGCGACTCCGGCTCGTCCGGCAAGTCATCCGACAGCGTCGGCAGCAGCAGCAGCGCCGGCGACAGGGAGGCCGCCGCCTCAGCGCACGTCAGTGTCACGGCTGGCGAATGGGGGCGACGAGCCGCCGACGGCGGCGGGTGGGGGGGGGGGGGGGGCAGTTTGTTTGGAGCTTATAGAGGCTTTTAGTACTCCACGGCCGTAACTGGATGTTCACGGCTCGTGCTTTTCCAAAATAAATTTCTGACTTCGGCACAGTTTTGTTCGAGGATGTGGGCAGACTATGATACACGTATGTGACCCGTGCATGACCCGTGCGTGACCCGTGTGTGACCCATGTATGACCCGTGCGTGACCCTTGCGCGGCCCGTGTGTGATCCGTGCGTGACCCGTGTGGCCTGTGTATGACCGGTGTATGACCCGTGTGTGACCCGTGCGTGACCCGTGTGGCCTGTGTATGACCGGTGTATGACCCGTGTGTGATCCGTGCGTGACCCGTGTGTGACCTGTGTGCGACCGTGGGCCGGCAGCCGGTGCGGCCTCCGGACACGTCGCCGGCGGCGGCGCTGCGGCCGTACCCGTCGCTGACGCCCGAGAGCCTCATCAGCCGGCACAGCCTCAACAGCAAGGCGGCGCGGTGAGTGTGGCGGGGCAGGTCTGGAGAAGGCGAGGAGGACCGGGGCCGTGTGGTCAGTGGAGGCTGCATTCTGACAAGAGTAAGTCAGATTTGTTGGAGACGGGAGCCGTGGCAGCCGCCGGAAGGTGTGCGCGGAGACGCCGCTCAGGTGTGCGACCGATCGGCTGCCGCATCAGTCTGGGCTCACTGACCGCCCGCTGTCGCTGCGGCAGGTTCAAGGGCAAGCGGGTGTACCCGTCGGTGCCGAACCAGCCGTCGGAGGCGGGCGCCCACTTCATGTTCGAGCTGGCCAAGAGCGTGCTGTCGAAGGCGGGCGGCAACAGCAGCACGTCACTCTTCACGCAGGTGGGACGCGCGAGAGGAAGTGGTCGACTGAAGGACGTCGAAACTGATCTGCTGCATGGACTCGTGAATCGTTCATGAAGCTCACACGCACTCATTGATGCTCGGCTCGCATCAATGGTGCATATAGTGCCAGCTGCCTGCGCAGGAAGGCGAAAATATCGGAGCATTTCTGTCTGTGTTGTTTCCTCGGCTCCAGCTCCTGTCCCTGCTTGTATCCCGCACTTCCCTTCCCTGCCCCGCCCTGCCCTGCCCTGAGCCTGCCCTGAGCCTGCTCCCGTTTGTTCTGTTGTTTCCCTGCCGTATCATGCCCTGCACCCGCCCCTGCCCTGCCCCTACCCCTGGCCCTACCCCTGCCCCTGCCCCTGCCCCTGCCCCTGCCCTGCCCCTGTCCCTACACCTTCACGTGTTCCTGCGCATGCTTCTCTTGCTCATGCTGCAGCGCTTCCTTGCCATGCTATTCACTCCGCCTAATGATAGAGGCTGTGCACCTGTCGCTGGCCATTGAGACTGCACCTGTCGCTGGCCGTTGAGACAGCGCACCTGTCGCTGACTGTTGAGACTACACCTGTCGCTGGCTGTTGAGACTGTGCACCTATCGCTGACCGTTGAGACTGCACCTGCCGCTGACCGTTGAGACAGCGCACGTGTCGCTGGCCGTTGAGGCTGTGCGCCTGTCGCTGACGGTGGGCGTGTCCGCTGTTCCAGCCATCGGACGCCGGCGCCCATCGCGGCCCGCACCGGGCCCTGCACATGTGCGCCTTCCAGATCAGCCTGTACGCGCTGGGGCTGCACAACTGCGTGACGCCCAACTGGCTGAGCCGCACCTACTCCAGCAACGTCAGCTGGATCACCGGTACGGCGGGGCAGGGGGCAGCGACCGGGGGCGGGCGGGGCAGGGGGCAGCGACCGGGGCGGGCGGGACCTGGGCGCGGCGGGACCTGAGGCGTAGCGAAACCGGGGGCGTGGCGGGACCGGGCGGCAGGCGGGCTCGCGCTCCCAGACCGTGGGAATCGATGGAGATGCCCAGCCAACATGAGGATCGTGAATTATTAGATGGCTGGGCATTTTCGGATGGGTGTGATGTACTGCTTGTTTTTTGCGCTTGAACATTCATCTCGTATATCGGTGCGCTCAATGATTTGTGTGTGTTAGCCTGTGCTTGGGACCGAGCTGGCCGTGTTTGTCCGTTATCTGGCCCGTCGATCGGCGGCGGGTCATGGGTTCGGTGTGGCCGGCGCGTCAGGCCGGTCGTCGCCCCGTCCGTCGTCACGTCTGGCGCACCCAGACGACATCGACAGGTGGTCCCGCTCGCCGCCGGCCGGCCTTCCCACGTCCGGCCGGCTATTTATCGGTCTGGCCGCCGTGCAATGCTAATGATGTTTCGCCGCTTGTTCGGCCCGGCCCGATTGTGTTGGGAGCGGTGTCGCCGCGCCCGTCCGACGACAGCAGTGGCGATCTCACTGGATCCCTGCTGCTGCATCTGCGGCGTTGTCATGTGGGGCGTCGGCCGTCATTAGCCGGCTTGTTCGGCTCGGCCCGATTGTGTTGGGAGCGGTGTCGCCGCGCCCGTCCGACGACAGCAGTGGCGATCTCACCGGATCCCTGCTGCTGCTGCTGCATCTGCGGCGTTGTTATGTGGGGCGTCGGCCGTCATTAGCCGGTTTCGGCGCGGCCGCCTCTCCCCCGCCGGTGACGCGGACACCCCCCGACCCCGGCTGTCCTCAAGCGGGAGGTGGTGGCGCGATAAGGTGGCCGCAGCTGCAGGGGCGCTTATGCAAGCGTCGGCTGACGACGGCCGCCGGACGGGCGCGGCCGGGATCGCTCTTGGCGGCCGGCCTCAGCGCCGTGCATCATCGTCAGCCAGCCGCGCCGCCGCCGGCTCCCGGGGAGGCCTGTCGGTGACCGCGGCGGGGTGCCTGTCGCCGCTGCCGTCAGCGCCGTCCGACCCCGGCAGCGACGGACATGCGGTCCGGGGGCAGCCACCGGCCGCGCTGACGCCGTCTGCGGACAGCCGGTCTGTGTGGGGCCGCGCGCTCCGCTCGGCCGCCCGGGCGGGCCGGGAAACTGCGCCCGGCTCAGCTGTCTGGTGGACATGTGTGGACGCGGTGCATGATCCTGACCTGACCCCTCCGGCGCGCAGGTCAGGCCATGGAGCTGGGCGCGGTGGCCATCAGCTGTCTGGTGGACACGTGGGAGGGCCACCTGACACCGCCCGAGGCGGCGCACATCGCCGACTGCGCCAGTCGGAGTCGCGACGGCCACGTGGTGCGCGCCGCCTCCGGCCTGACGCTCAGCATCCTGCCGCACGCGCACGCGCTCAACCAGAATGAGATCCAGCGCGCCCTGCTGCAGGTGCGTGCCGCGCCGGGGCCGCCGGCGCCGCCGTCATGGCGGCAGTGTTCAGAGGTGGCGCGTCGGAAGAGCGCCGCCTCGGCCGCCGCCGTTCGCCCGGGTTGGGATGGGCGTCGCGGCCAGGCAGGGTTTGCTCCGCTGACGCTGACTCTCCGTGAGCCGCCGTGGTGCGGTTGATGGGAGAACTTTGCCCCAGTGGGTTAGCGGGGTTGTGTCTGGGGGTCTTCACGTGTTATGTAACGTGGCGACGCTGCCCCGCCGTGGTGGATGTTTCCCCTCGCCGCCGAGGGGTCGCAGCGGCGCACGTGGGCGACGAACTGTCGCGCCCATTTACCTGGAACCCACGGCGCCCGTCACGTGCCACCGGACGAGGCTGCCGCGCTGACGCCGCTGGACCGCTTGCAAGGCGGAGACTGGTGTGTGGTCACTGAGTGTGTCAGCTCTCCAGTGTGGCACCGCTGGTTTGTGGAGGTCGCCGGCTGTGGTCCTAGGAGCGGTGTCACGCGCTGTGCACTGACCGTGTCGCCCAGTGTGGGGGGCCATTCGTTTGCCTCCGCATCTCCGCTGACCCCGTGCGGAGGGTGACGTGTGCTGACCTGACCGCGCCCCGGTCTCTCTCCGTCCTGTCAGTGTAAGGAGCAGTCCAACGAGCTGCTGGAGAAGGCGTGTCTGGCGGTGGAGGGCGCGGCCAAGGGTGGCGGCGTCTACCCGGAGGTGTTGTTCGACATCGCCACCAAGTGGTACCAGCTGTACGAACGGGTGCGTGACGGGACCGGGCCGGCTGGCGACGGAGCGGCGGCTGCCGGGACCGCTGGGTGGGACCGTGGGACCGCGCCCGCCCGCCCGCTGGGGCGGCGCCGAGGTGCGCTGCTCTGTGGAGGATCTGACGAGCGACTTGGCGCGCTTTATGTGGTGGGAGAGTACGCGGGATTCGTGGGCCGCTGCCTCCGGCGTGGCAGGTACACTTCATAGTCAGCACATGCGAGCGATGACGTTGTGGCGTCTGTGCTCCGTGACCGGGGTACATTAATAAGGCGAGGCAACATTTATAGAATGTTTTCAGCCTTCAGCTGATGCGTCGGACGGAATGCTCGTGTATATGCGATTTCTCCCCGCATGGATTCATGCCGTGCTCTCTGTGGTCATTCTGGCCCCAGTCCAGCGGCTGCTCGCGCGACCGCACGCGCGCGCGCACACCCATGCCGCGAGCGTGCGGTCGGTTGCCATGTGGGCGTCGCTAGCATCTGACTGTCCCATCGCTAGAGACTGGGACGCTGGACGTGGCCTTTGCAGACGTCGCCAAAGCAGGGCGGCTCCCACGACTCTGCCGAGGACGTGGGGCTGCTGGAGTCGCCGCCGCCGCCGCCGCCCCACGGCGTCATGGAGCCCCCTGCACAGGTGGGACTGGACATTACAGGGCGTCAGGGGGCCCGCGCTGGGGTGGGACTGACATTACAGGGCGTTAGGGGGCCCCGCGCTGGGGTGGGACTGGCATTACAGGGCGTTAGGGGGCCCCGCGCTGGGGTGGGACTGACATTACAGGGCGTTAGGGGGCCCCGCGCTGTGGTGGGACTGACATTACAGGGCGTCAGGGGGCCCGCGCTGGGGTGGGACTGGCATTACAGGGCGTTAGGGGGCCCCGCGCTGGGGTGGGACTGGCATTACAGGGCGTTGGGGGGCCCGCGCTGGGGTGGGACTGGCATTACAGGGCGTTAGGGGGCCCCGCGCTGGGGTGGGACTGGCATTACAGGGCGTTAGGGGGCCCGCGCTGGGGTGGGACTGGCATTACAGGGCGTTAGGGGGCCCCGCGCTGGGGTGGGACTGACATTACAGGGCGTTAGGGGGCCCCACGCTGGGGTGGGACTGGCATTACAGGGCGTTAGGGGGCCCGCGCTGGGGTGGGACTGGCATTACAGGGCGTTAGGGGGCCCCGCGCTGGGGTGGGACTGGCATTACTGGGCGTTAGGGGGCCCCGTGCTGGGGTGGGACTGGCATTACAGGGCGTCAGGGGGCCCGCGCTGGGGTGGGACTGACATTACAGGGCGTTAGGGGGCCCTTTGCTGAGGTAGGACTAGCACCCTGGAAGGGTGTTTTGGAGGCACAAAGAGGACCGGCAGTTGCTGGTTGTTACCGATCCTCCACCCGAGGCGGGTTTGACCCCTCCACAGAGCATGCAGTCCTTGCTTGTGTGGGGCTGACGCCCCCACAGGGTTAACACTAACACCAACACCTCCCCTCAAACACCTGCTGTTCTCTGGGTGAGCTCCCGGGTCCGGCCGGCCGCGGCCCCCGGCGTGTGGCGGGACGGCTGGGACTCGATCGGCGCCTGCACTGGGTGGGCTCCCGTGGTTCGGCCGGCCGCGGTCCCCCGGCTTGTGGCGGGACGGGTGGGACTCTCGATTGGCGCCTGCACTGGCGGTGCTCGTGGTCGGACGAGGTCCTGTGCCCAGATGTGGACCGGGGTGCGACTGTGCGTGTGAGTTCGTCGTAAGTGACTTTACTCTTGTGTTGAAGAACGTGCCGGGGAGGGCGTGTTGCATGTCACCTGGCTTTTGTTCGTCCATGCAGCGGTGATGTGAACTGATGGCCGACCGCACGTCTATGTCCCTGTGTCGCCTGTCCTGCCGTGCCCTGACCCGACCTACCTCGCCCTGCCCTGCCCTGACCTCACCAGCCCTGACAGTGCCCTGACCTGCCCTGCCCTGCCCTGTCCTGCCCTGCCCTGACCCGACCTACCTCGCCCTGCCCTGACTCTGCCCTATCCTGACCTCAGCAGCCCTGCCCTGCCCTGACCTGCCCTGACCTGACTCGACCTACTTCGCCCTGCCCTGACCCTGCTCCGTCCTGACAGCACCAGCCCTGACCCTGCCCTGACCTACCCTGACCTACCCCGACCTGCCCCGACCTGCCCTGCCCTGCCCTGCCCTGCCCTGGCCTGGCTCTGGCCCTGGCCCTGGCCCTGGCCCTGGCCTTGACCTGACCCAGCCATGAGCCTGCCCCTGCCGTGACCTGACCTGATGGTGTGTCGGTGTGTCGGACAGGTGCACCTGAGCGTGACCCCGGGCGCGCCGTACCCGGTGACGTACAGTTGTCTGGCGGCGGGCGCTGCGGCCGCGCAGGTACGGGCCCTGATGCCAGCCGCCATCCGGGCCAATGTGAGAGACGCTGGGCGCGCTGCCGCCACCGCCGCCCGGCCCACCCCGCACCGCACCCACCGGTGGCGGAGAACGGCAGGAGACGGACTGGAGGGCATGCTGACGGGGTGGCTGGGGCGCTGAGGAGTGGCGGGAGCGGGGTGTACGGAGAGCGCCGAGGGGTGGTGGGAGAAGGGCGCCGAGGGGTGGAGGGTGGAAAGCACCGAGGGGTGGGAGGTGGAGGGCGCTGTGGTGATGGCGGGTGGTACGGGAGGGCGGAGAGGCTGGACGGCCAGAGGCGGGCTGGTGGAGGTGCAGTGAGGGCGCCACCTCCGGGCATTTGGCGCCGCACTGGCGATATTGTCACCGCTGTGCAGGCTGCATGGGCTGTGGAGGTACTGCGAGCGGCGTGTGAAGGCCGGGGACTGGCGGCGTGTGGGGATGGACAGCGGCCGTCCGGCTGCTGTCAGGGGTCCGGGCAGGTGCGGAGGCCGCCGGCGTGTGGGGCTGGACAGCGGCCGTCCGGCTGCTGTCAGGGGTCTGGGCAGGTGCGGAGACCGCCGGTGTTTGGGTGACGGTCTTCCTGGCTGGCCGAGGCGGCCGCGGACTGACAGGTCATGCTGCCGGTGCACGTGGGGGCAGCTCGGGTGCGCCGATAGAGGGCAAATTAGTGTTCGACTGAGATAAAAACGAAAACACTGTGTCCAAACGTACACCGTGCGTTGTTTTGTGTAGTTATGGGATGGGAGAATGGTACCACGACTCGAATTCTGGAGGCCTTTAACCAGTGCATAGTATTGTTACACCTGGTGGTACATCGCTTGTACCAATTATAGTAACAGCACGCTGGTGTTGCCGATGCTTACCCGTTCGCGGCGGGCAAGCATTTGAATGGGACTTTCCGTGCCTGAATAACGGAATTCGATCAATCCACAAACTCGGGGATGGCCGGGCGCGGGCCGCGTGTAAATGGCTGGCACGTTTCAACCATCAAACGTGTCCAAACGTTATACGTCAACAAATAAAAGCCCAGCCTCAGTGTCAGCATGACAGATTCCTGCGTTGGCTTGACCCGTGACGTAGTGCAGTGGTGGTGAGACATCGCCGCTGGCCCGGCCGCCGTGCTGACCCGCTCCGGCCCGCCAGGTGGGCGTCAACCAGCTGTCGGTGCAGATGTTCGTGCCGTACGGGCCGCAGCCGCAGCAGTACCCGACCGTGCAGCTCTACCCCACCGTCAGCATGCAGAGCGTGGTGGCAGCCGGCCTGCCGCGGACACAGCCCTCCGGTCTGCCCGGTCAGTACTGCAGAGCGGCGCTCAGACTGCGGACGGGACGCCTGCTGCCGTCACAACCGACTCTGGGTGGGCTCGCTGGGGAGGTGGCCGAATCTGGAGTGGCTGGCTGGAGAGATTGCCGGGTCTCTGGAGTAGCTGGCTGGAGATTTTGCCGAGTCTCTCTTGGGTAGCAGGCTGGAGAGGTGACCGAGTCTGTTCGGGGTGGCTGGCTGGAGAGGGTACCAACTCTGGAGTAGCTGGCTGGAGTTTTCGCCGAGTCTGTCTGGAGAAGCCGGTGGTGCGACAGACTGGCCGGACCTGACTGTGGCTGTGCGCTGGCGTGCCTTCCCCGGCCGGTGCGACAGACTGGCCGGGCGCGACCTGGCCTGACTTGACCTGACTACTCCGCTGTCGGTCCGCCCCGGCCAGCGGCGACCCGGCGCCGCTCCGTCCGGCCCTCTTCGTCTTCGTGCAGCGGTGTTTGACGGGTGACCCGGTGTGTTTCGCAGGCGGCGGTCCGGCTGTGCCCATGTTCTCCCTGCCGCCGCAGTCTCACCCGCACATGGTGATGCTGGCGCCGCCGCCGCCGCCGCACTCTCAGGCGCCACCCATCATGGTGCCGGTGACGCTGGCGGCGGCCGGGCTGCAGCACCGGCCGCCGCCGCCTCCCCCGCCGCCGCCGCCCCCGCCACCGCCACCGCCGCCCGCCCAGCACCCGCTACCGCCGCAGCACCCGCTGGCTCAGGTGAGCCGTTGCCCTGCCCGGCCCGGCCCGGCCCGACTCTGCCTGCTGGCGGCGTCCGTGATGTGTGGCCGTACGCCAGCCAGCGGTCCAATGTTAACCAGCCGTTCACAGTGCCATTCCCCGGACGGCATTAGCACATCGACGTACGCGCTGTTGAGTGCAAAATTGACGCGGACTTAAAACCAAAGTGATGGTCATCAGTTGCCTCCATTGAGGTTGCCCGACGACGTCTGCGTGAGGCCGTCTGGTGCGGGACCTCACCTGCCCCTGGCCCGAGCCTGACCAGCGTGTGGCCGCTCGCTCAGTCGGCCTGCTTGTGTAGGTCCGTGAGGTACCGGGACCTGCCGCCCGATCAGTGTCGCACTGCAGCTGCGTTTGTGCATTGAGGGCGGCCCGCCGGCCGCTCCGGCGCGCCGGTGTAGCCGAGTGTCCGTCAGGCGCGTTGTGCGTCTCTCTCTCTCTCTCTCTCTCTCTCTCTCTCTCTCTCTCTCTCTCTCTCTCTCTCTCTCTCTCCTCTCTCTCTCTCTCTCTCTCTCTCTCTCTCTCTCCTCTCTCTCTCTCTCTCTCTCTCTCTCTCTCTCCTCTCTCCTCTCTCTCTCTCTCTCTCTCTCTCTCTCTCTCTCTCTCTCTCTCTCTCTCTCTCCTCTCTCTCTCTCTCTCTCTCTCTCTCTCTCTCTCTCTCTCTCTCTCTCTCTCTCTCTCTCTCCTCTCTCTCTCTCTCTCTCTCTCTCTCTCCTCTCTCTCTCTCTCTCTCTCTCTCTCTCTCTCTCTCTTCTCTCTCTCTCTCTCTCTCTCTCTCTCTCTCCCTCTCTTTCTTTCTTTCTTTCTCTCTTTCTCTCTTCCTCTCTTCCTCTCTCTGTTGTGGGTCCGCGTGACGCCGGGCCGTCCCTTCCGTCATGCAGCCGGTGCCGCGGATCCTGGGCTCGCCACCGCTCAAGTACCTCTTCTCCACGTACCGTGTGGGCATGCTGGCGCTGGAGACGTTGGCGCGGCGCGTGCACGATGACCGCGCCACTAAGTACTCGCGCACGCCGCCGTACGGTGACGACGTCAAGTGGCTGCTGCAGGTGGCCATGAAGCTGGGTGAGTGTCCGCCGGAGTGTGGTGCTGCGGCTGGGCTGGACTGGGGTGGGCTGGCCGGCCGGCGCCGAGGGAGTCTGCAGCCGGGGCCGGGGCGGCGTTGCCTCCGTCGCCGGCAGAGGTGCGCGGTGACACGGGCAGCGGTGGGGAGGCGGAGGTCGGGTCTGGGGCATTCGGCGGGAGACAGAAGCCGATGGAACAGGCGGAGGTTCGGGAGATGTGGGATGGATCAGTCCCAGCTGTAGCTTTAGTCATCAGCAGATCTTGTCGGATACCGCGCTGTTCACTATGATTTGGTGTTGAAACGAGCGAGAAGTGGACGTCCGCCTATCGACGACGTACGCAGCCCGCTGTCGATCAGCTCTATGCCGCTACCATGCGCACGAGGGGCCCACAGAAGTTTAGGGAGCCTCTTAGCTGACCCACACTCATTCTGGTGGGGTCAGTGTCAGCCGCCTCGGCGCCATTCTCGCGGCAGCGTGCCGGCGGGCCTGCCAACGCCGCTGTAGACGGAGCGCCTGTCTGACCGTAACCGGCCCCCTCCCGTCGTCTCCCCCGTCACCAGGGACGCCGTACGTGCACCAGTTCTGCCTGTGCACCGTTAACTCCGTGGTGTCGCCGTTCGTGCTGTACGACATCGCCGGCGAGGTGGGCTCCTACCTGAGCCGAAACAACACGGCGCCTCCGTACCGGTCACAGGTGAGGTCACGCTCGCGACCCGGCCTGGGCGCCGAGGTCACGGTACCGGGCCCAAGCGGCGAGGTCACTGGCTGGGGCGCCGGGGTCGGTCACGGCCCGTCTCGGGCGCCGAGATCACAGGCTGGGGCGCCGGGGTCGGTCACGGCCCGTCTCGGGCGCCGAGATCACAGGCTGGGGAGCCGGGGTCCCGGTTTCGGGCCGCTGACCGGCCGCTCCAGGAGCCTGTGGCAGACCAGGTCGTGCTGCTGTGCAGGAGGCAAGTTCTATATTGTGGACACACTGATGCCGTCGACAGGTGTTCTGGTTTGCGCAAAGATACGCATCAGCTCGGCGCGCTGGTCGCTCGCGCGGCCGTCATGTTACCCTACACGACGACTTTTTGTGGAAAACGGCGCGTTTAGCAATGGTTTTTGGAGTGTCACTTTCAGCAGATGAGCCGGGGCTTGGTACGCCCGTGTAAGGCCCGCACCCCGTTCGTGGTCTGGGCTGACGCGGGTGGTCCGTACGCGCTGGTCCGTGAGCCCACTGCGGCGAACGTCAGACCGCTGACGCGGCGCCGCCGCCGGCAGATCCTGACGCCGCTGGTGCAGCAGTGCCAGCAGATGTTTCTGTCGTGCATGCACGTGCGCCTCTGCCACGTGACGCCGCCCGAGTACGACGAGTTCGTGTCGATCGTGTGCACGGCGCGGCAGGCGTTTAGCATGACCGCCGGCGGGCCAGCTCAGCTGCAGGTGAGGCTGGGGACGGGCGCGCAGCCGGGGCGGGGCGAGTGCTGGGCCTGCTCAGCTGCAGGCGAGGCTGGGGACGGGCGCGGAGCGGGGCGGGTCGGTTGCCGCACCTATGGGAACACAGCAGCGGAACCAGGGATTCAGGATTGTGACACTGCCAGACACCCGTGGGTTCGTGGTGGGTGACTAAAGCACTCATTGCAATAGAGAGCAACAGGGCGTCGGAGAATATCTGATGTGCGAGCGACGACACTAGCTGACTCGGTTATCGTCGCGGGCATTCTTCAGCTTCTTTTGTAACTAGCAAAGACTGCTCGCTGCGGACTGCTTCTGCTCACCGCTGTTGATCACTGGGCCACTGTTGATTCGGCGCTATGGTACCTCGAGGTCATTAACGTTTCAACGATACCTCAATGAGCACGTCATTTTAAACTTCCTGTGAATGTACCCCAACATGACATCTTGAGTTGTAGTGATCACACGCTTTGGCGCGGCATAATCGGTATGGTGCGAGAAATACCCAGCGTACCCTTCTCTCTAGTGGGTGTTTTTGTTCTGAATTTGAATTCATATTTTGCAGGGCTTCTTGCAAGACAACAGGAAAAACAAGCTGGTCAAGAAAGAACTCTGGTTACGGATCTCCATGGCCCTGCAGCAGCCCCCTGCGTGACACCCGTCCCATCTAGATGCCACTTTCAGAAGTTGTAGTTGTTCGTTTTTCTACTGGATGCCGCTAGTGTGGTCGTCGCCCGTCGGCGCCCCGCCTCCCCGAGAAAAAGCCATCCCATCTTCATCACCTGTATAAAGCCATCTGGCGTCGAGCGCCATGCTGTTCCGGCGTCCACTCGGCCTCACCGATCCATAAGCGTAGCATAGCGGAGCCGACGGTGGCGCCACAGGTCCGTGTCGGTCTGATCTCGATACCCTGAGGGAGGCGCCGTCCCGCGATGGGCGTGGCCAGCGCTGGCGCTGTTCCCGACCGAAGAGCAAAACAGGACGTGCACGGCGAGTCTGAACAGACAAGGCGCAGATGCAGTGGCGCGTCGTGGAATTTCAAGTTTGATCTTGGTCCACCGGATGGCTGCACTGGCGCGCCGGATGGCGCCCGACGTGGGGCCACGGCATGCAGAGTGGAAGAGTTTGACGCAGTGCTGTGGAGTGCCGCTGCGTGACGTAGCATGTCTCTCTTGCTTCAGTCTCCAGTGTGGGTAGGGTTTGGGTTGCTGCAGGTGTACGATGTCACACCTGTCATGCGACAGGGAGTGACACGAGCGTGCGCGTCTCTCAATCAGCCGCGTGTCTGCCGGCGCCGGGCTGTCGGCTGGCACTGCGTTTAACTGGTAGTGAAGAGTAGAAGGACGCGCGCTTGGTGTGAGCATGTCTGTCCGTTTTATATTTTAAATAATATCCTAGCCGTAGCATTTGAATTTGTGGTTATTAGCTGTAGCGCTTAGAGTTGCCGCTCCTGCCGCCAGCGGCTGGCGGCGCCGCGCAGCGGCCGCCGCCGTCGCCGCCGAGCGGCAGGAGGCGCGCCGTGTTCGTAGCCGGCAGTGTGCCGGCCGCTTCCGTGGCCGCATGTAGAGCGGTGGCCAGCCCTGTGTTCGCCTGCGTGTGTGTGTGTCTGCTCGACGCCGCCCCGTTCCGCGCAGCTTGGTCAGTGTTGGCAGCCGCCGGCGATGGACCCCGTCTCCCCTCCGTCTTCCCGTCTGTTCCTCGGTTTCCGACCCCGTCGCGCTGCCCTGGCTCCTCCACCTCTTTGCTCTGTGTCACCGTTTCCTTGGTTGCTGTCGTGCATCGGACGTGCTGCGTCGCCCAGCTGCCCGGCGTCTGTGCGCGGTGTGTGTCACGCCTGTGCGCCGACGCGTTCTGTACTGTTTTCTCCGCGGCCGGACGTCCCGGCTCACCGTCCCGACAGCATCTCCAGCCCCGCCGACCTCGCCTTTCGACTGGAGCGAGAAAGCAGGCGACCGGAGCTAACCGCAACAGACCGGGACTGGCCGGGACTGGACCTGACGGGACCAGACCGTTCTGGTTCTGACCGGACTGGGCCCGATCTGACTTGACCTGACGTTCTAGAACTGGACGTATCACCCATCACTGGTCCTCTGATGGTGCTCTCCGGACCTTTGTCCAGAGCCTTTTAAAGGCGACGAATTATCAGAGTATATTTAGTTGTACATTTTAATTTAACGAATCGAATGCGATTCAATCGCGATTTTTTGTTTTTGTTCAGTTGTGTTGCCAATGTGAACGGTTTTGGCTACTTGATGCCTCATTTTTTGTTTAATTCATGCCTCAGTACCTCGGTGGAAACCGACTGGGTTGTTCATGAGCTCGGCATGTCCATGGATGGCTTCGAAAATTGTGCAACGTTTCACGTAGTGACGTAGTTCAAACATCCAGTGAGGAAGATTGCGAATCCACGCACCTCGAAAAGTCGCTTCGTGGTGAAGCCATCCGTCCGCCCAGTCGGCGATGGCGATGGATTGACATCGGACTAGAAGGCGCAGCATTGAAACCAACGCGATGCGACACTGCGGTGCGTCGGTTTGTAGTCTTGCTCCGTCAACCTGAGCCCAGACGTCCCCCAGAGGCTGGCGCAGGAGGCGTCCGTCGGTTTCCGCCCACGCCGCGCGCTCTGCCGGAGTGACGCGTCGGCGGTCAGTTCGGCTCCAGTGTTCCGAAGTGGCGTGGTTCTCCGCCCGCTCGAGACCCACCCGGTGGTCCTTCTCGCGGTCCGGCCTCGCGGTCCCGCCCGGTCCGTGGTCCGCCGGACCGCCCATCCGTCTCCGAGACCGCCGGTCTCGGCTCTACCTCAGTGCTCTTACGCCTCACACCTTCGGTCGCATCTAGTGTGTAACATCTAGTGATGTGCTTTATTAGTGTGTGGCGCGTGAGCGCGGTGGACGCCGCCGGCCCCGCGTGAGCCGCCGGCTGCTGCACGCCCGGCCAGGACACCGCCGCCGCCGCCGCCGCCGCCGCCGGCGCCGGCGCTCGGTGGACCGCCTTCCCGTCGGCGGCGGCGGCGGCGGTAGGAGGCCGCGGCGCGCGTGAGGACGCCGGGTCCGGTGACCGGGCCGGCCGCGCCCACCCCGCCTGCCGCCAGTATTAGTGTTAAACATGGGGCGGATGTTACTGGAGTGGACCGAAAGAGCGGATCTTGTGCCCGAAATGGACGGCTGGTCAATACACTTGCCGTCGGAAGCCTGCTGGTGTTTGGCGCCTCGGGGGGGGGGGGGGGGGGGGGGCGACTGTGGGCTGCAGGGAACAGGAACTCTCTGGCTGATCAGCCCCAGCTGGCTAGTGGGGTCGGCTGGTGCTCTGGAAGCCGGAGCTGGGCTATTCGTACTGGAGATGTATCACCATGAAGTGGTGATATATCACCAAACTGTTGCGCCGCCCGATGCTAATGTAGTTTCGGTGAAGTTTTCTCAAGCGAACTAACACGAACTCGTGTTGTTTTTGGCAGCTCTTTTAAAGAATGCGACCCAAGGATATGAAGTTCGGTGACTTTCTAAACATAGCGTTCATACCAACCACATAATGTGAGCTCCCTTCGCCCGCGCGTAACACCCAAAACGGCTTTGAGGGGAGGGGGGGGGGGGGGGTCAAGTCGGTGTCGGCCTGAATTTTCCGCCTGCCGGTCAACCAGTCGGCCTGTATAATGGTTAACCAGCGTTAATTAATAACGATTGTGGCTAAGGGCTGGTAGCTTCCGTGTCATGCATTCCAATAGTCAGAGGTGTATTCAGACGCAACAAAGACGAGTTTGGTCCCGTACCCTTCCACATGAGCAGAGTGCCCATGCAAGCGATGATGTGTCTTGCCAAGCGTATTTGAAGCTGCCAACAACAGCGCGCACGCGGACAAGGCGTACCTACCCGGGCGACGAAATCGCAGGTACAGAACCGACGAAGGCGGGGCCAGGCGGCTGCAGTCCTGGAACGGTACGCACCGCGCGTCAGCAGGTGATTCGCAAAAGGAACGGCGGGCGCCATGGCAACAGTCACGTGATAATTCAAAACCGTTGTCGCTTGTATCTAAAAGCATTGCTTCCATACTTCGGTGTGCTTTGGAGCCGTGTGAAACAAGAGCACTTGCTCTATGCTCCTCAGGGCACTGAATTGGTTACGCCGTTGTGAAGCAGTTTAAACAGAGATCTGGTAACCAGACTGACACCCTACTCGGTATTTCCACAGCCGCCGCTCACAAAATATGTCAGATGGCCTCTTGCGCCAAACAAAACTTGCGCACGGGCCAAAACACAAACGAGGTATAGATTTCACTGTGTTGTCCTGCTAGTCTATTATTGCTTATACCTTGGCCAGCCGTTGATAATTTCCGAAAAAAATCGTGTCGCAATCTCATTCTTTAACTCGCATACACAAAGTACGTACACAATTGTTCGTAAGGAAAGAGGGTTAGTCATAAGCCTCTACGACAGAAGTGCTTACGCAAAAGCCCATACGAAGAAGTTCACATGCAAATATTCTTATGGTATGAACTATAGAGAGCACATGGCAAATGCTCGCATTAACAGCAGATCGTAGGCATGTACGCAACTGTTTGTAAGCGATTGACCGTGAGAAAATGCTCGTAACTGAAGAAGATTGGTCTGACAATAGTGCGCACGCAAAGTCTGTGAGCAACACGCACGGTTTGGTTTGGTTTGGTTATTTGTATTAGAGCCCTTTTGATCAACATTGATCATTTCAGGGCTATAGGATGAAGGAGACTGGGTAACGGTGAGACAGAACTGCATGCACCTTGGGGGAGGGGGGGGGGGGGGGAGGGGGCGCAACCGCCAAACTCAGCCCGCGCAGGGACCCTCGGCGGGATACGCACCCGGCGCCCGGTCGCGGTCCCCCTTCAGTAGGCCTCTCGGTCCACTCATGGCTGGCGCACGCAGCCTACCCTGGACAAGCGGGGCATCACGAAGATGCAGGATGAAGCAAGAAAGAGGATAAGAGGGTCGAATGAACACGGTCGGGGTCTCCGAAGACGACTTGAGGCATGAATTCCAATGAGCGATTTTTAACTCTATTCGGGGTCCAGTTTGATAGCGATACTTTCGAACAATGTCGAGTTGGATGCAAGCAAGGCCCCTATCAAAGTTGGTGTAGAAAAAGGACCAGCTGGTGCATCATGCTCTGTGGACTCCGAGTGACTTTATATAAGCAAACGTGGGTATACCAGGCATCACTTGAGCGCCCGCCAGTCTTATTCTACAGGCGAGCCAGCTGCCTCACGCCTCGGTCGTCAGCTGGCGCCGGTGAAGCGCTCAGGGGCGTCAGCTGGCGTCACTGGCGCGCTCAGGGGCCGTCAGCTGGCGTCAGTGACGCGCTCAGGGGCCGTCAGCTGGCGTCACTGGTGCGCTCAGGGGCCGTCAGCTGGCGTCAGTGGCACACTCAGGGGCCGTCAGCTGGCGTCACTGGCGCGCTCAGGGGCCGTCAGCTGGCGTCAGTGGCGCGCTCAGGGGCCGTCAGCTGGCGTCAGTGGCACACTCAGGGGCCGTCAGCTGGCGTCAGTGGCGCGCTCAGGGACCGTCAGTTAGCGTTGGTGGTGCGCTCAGGGGCCGTCAGGCGGAGTCGTGGACAAAGGCGGCAAGGATGCGGGGGCCGGGGGTTGGAAGGGAAGCCAAAACGCAATAAGTGCAGTGGGTGGTGTGTGTGGGACCACTCCTTACAACTATGTTTTAAACATTGGTTTCTCGCATTTTAAGGTTATCTCGCACTAAACTCAACGATGGAGTTTATTTGGAGGCCGCCGATGAATGTTTCATTTTATGCCATGAAGAGGTGGGCTTGTCATATTATTGTCATCCCCTACATTGAATGCAGTGACCTATGAAGTGATAATTCAACCGAGGCCCGGAATGAAGGATGAAAATCTGAATTCCAACACTTAATACATATCTGCGTACAAAGTTTTGCGCAAGTTCTTTTGTCAAACGCGCTTCTGCCATGGCGAACATTTGCGTACAAGTTTTGTTCACTTAATCAGATATCGAAATACGAAGTTTCGCTTACGCACTTTACGCACGTTCATTTAAAAAATGAACTTCATCCTTGACTAACATTCACGCCCTCACCTTTGAGTACAAATGATTGCTTACGACCCTCTCCATGCGACTTTTGCGCGTGTGAACATTTTTGCTATCACATTTTCCGAGGAATAATTTATCATGCGATCTGCATCTATACGTACTGCTTCTATTGCGAGCTTTTGCGCTACGAAATTTTTGCCCCGCAAACTTAACCCCGACGAATATTATGCTGCGTTAGCTTTATCCTACGAGTGATTGGCAACATACTCTTTCTATGCGTGGTTTTGTCCGCAGCGTATTAATGATATCCATCTGTTGGCTCACTGGACAAGAGCAGCTCGGCAAAATTCAGTTTTCCCTCCACACTTGTTGCATTTCCCGTCTTCTTTTTCGGACCTCAGACAATACTTGCCTCCCTTTACAGCCGTGCTCATATTTCCGGCCAAAACACTACAGAGATATCACAGTGTAGGCAAAAGAGTCGTGGTGTAAATTAGATCGTGTGGATTAAAATAGTGTGTGAGTACCAACAACGTCCTGGGTGTTGAAATCCGCAGAGGTCTTTGGGTACGTGTGTTTTTTAATGTAACGTGTCGCTTAGGCCTGCTAAGCACCATGACATTACACGTTGCGTTTTCTATCGTTTTTCCCTCCGGTACGCGCCGTTTCCATTAACAAATTACATAATGGACGAATGGCCTGTTACCGGCGGCGCAGACGTCGATGGTGATCCGGTGACCGCAGACAACTGCCAGACGGCTCCCGGGCGCTGTTCGGACCCGGTCATCACGCCCGGCCCCCAGCCTGCAGCGAGCGCGGAGATACACGCTCGACTTCCTGCCCGCGATGCCACCCAGAGTCATTATAGTGTCATGAGCGGGCATGGAGCGGTCAGATTGCGGCAGACGCGGCCTGTAACACTCCCAGCCATAACGGGGAAGACAATGAATAGGTCCTGGGCACGACTGGAAGGCGCGTGCCTTCAGGGCAACAGGCAGTTTAGCACGGCGTGTTTATGGCTGGCGGGTGGGCAGCAGATGTTGTCCTCATTATGAACCACCAAGCACTTTCACTATTAAAACGAGGTCTAGAAAGGCCACGCTAAACGGCCGTGTTCCAGCATTGGAGAAATGAAAAACTTTAAAACGGTTCAGCAAAAGTGACTCCTCGCCGCTGACAAAACCACGCTCCAGGCTCATGGAAGATTACGATCCATGTTAGTAGATGAGTTAGTTAAAATGGGTTATGTTTATTTGCAATTCTGGCTACCATACGAGAGATGCTTGTAACCAGCACAGCATTGACTAGCAATTAACATCCCCCCCCCCCCCTGTTACCTTCCCTTATCGTACTCCAAACCGTCCTTTTCGGCTTCATAGTCATGTGATATTTAGTCACATTTCATTCTGTTAAGATATTTGAAGACTTAGCGTGTCGCATCGCAGGTCTTGCATTTCTACTGTGACTTGCATTTTTGCTACATTCCTCCTTGTATTCTATTGTAACTTAAAAATAAGTAAAATAGTGCCCAATAGCCTCTCTCTCCTCAAGGCAAGCAGTCGAAAGGCTGCCAAATCACAATCAGTGGAGCGTACCATTAACACGTGCCCGGGTGGCCCGTTGGATACCCTTCGCTCAGTTGGCGAGGCGGAGGGGGGGGGGGGGGTGTCAATTTGGGCAACTGTGATCTCTAATTCTAAGAGAGCCAAACTTACGCCCTGTAAGTTTGTATTTGTATAAGGTTGGTCTGTATGTAAACTCACTTGTGTCAAAATTTGTGGTCCCTAGGTCCATGACCTTGGGGTCACGTAAGGCAAAATAAGGTCAAAGTCAAGAGTGGTGTACAAAGTGCCCCATACTTTCTCATGCAACCGCCTTGAACCTAGATACTTGTCTAACAGAAAGGTAGCT